AAAAAAAAAAAAAAAAAAAAAAAAAAAAAAAAAAAAAAAGAAGGATAGTTATTAACTGATCAAATAACTAACTAGTTAGTTAACGGCGCCAAGCGCCTTATCGATAAGGCCGGCAAAAATTTCGGGGATCGCAACAAACTCGACCAAACCGCGATCGCAAGACAACAAATCCGGCTCGATAGCATTCTATCGAAGCGATTATCCAGTATATTTCCTTTGATTGGATAGCCAGAATATACCACCACGATGCCCGAAAGGGTCCTCACGAAATTCGCCGATTCGGACGACGAAACGGTCCCGAAGAAGACATCGCCCGAAGTGGAGAAGAGCACAGAAACAGCGCCCGTGAAGAGGAAGAAGCAGGAGAATAAAGAGGATACACTGAAGAAGAAGAATAAGAAGCGGAAGCATGATGACGAGCGACCTAGTGAGGAGAAGAAGTTGAAGGCGTCTAAAGAGCCGAAGACTGAGGAGCAAGAGAAGCCCAAAAATGGCACGGACGAAACGCCAAAGGAAGAACAAGCAGAGAAGCCGGAAAAGAAACAGAAGAGCCAGATCAAAAAGCAGAAACCGATCCGAGACGTCAAAACCAACTTCACCCCCCTAAGAGAAAAAGCCCGAGCACTCTACGAAACCCGCAAGACCCTCCCCATCTTCCCCCACGGCGACGAAATCCGCCAACACCTCCGCAAAAACGATGTGATGCTGCTAGTCGGAGAAACGGGTAGCGGAAAGAGTACACAAATTCCGCAATTCTTAGTAAACGAGCAATGGTGTCGTCCTACCACCACGAGCATCCCGCAGGACGACGGTTCGCCCAAAGACATCCCGGTAGGCGGGTGCATTGCGATCACACAGCCGCGTCGAGTCGCGGCGATCTCGCTCGCAAGACGTGTGGCAGAGGAAATGGGGACGCCTCTGGGTTCGTCGTCGCCCGCCAGCAAGGTTGGCTATTCGGTGCGTTTTGATACGTCTACGGGGCCGGGTACGAGGGTCAAATACTTGACGGAGGGAATGCTGTTGCAGGAGATGCTGCATGATCCGTGGTTGACGAGGTATAGCGCGGTTGTTGTTGATGAAGTTCACGAACGGGGTGTGAATGTGGATTTGGTGTTGGGTTTCTTGAGGAATATGGTTTCTGGCAAGCGGGAGGGGCGTGGTGGTGCGCCGCTTAAGGCGGTGGTTATGAGTGCTACGGCTGATATGGAGAGTTTACTGGAGTTCTTCCAGGCGGGGATTCAGATTAGTCCTCGTCGTTTGGAGAACGGGTCCGATGAGAAGAGTGCTACGCCTAAAGAGATTGAGGATGACATTGCTGTGTGCCATATCAAGGGTCGTCAGTATCCTGTCAAAACGATATACGCCCCGGAACCGGTCCATGATTTTGTGGACGCTGCGCTCAAAGCCATCTACCAGATTCATTACAAAGAGCCAATGCCCGGAGATATCCTTGTGTTCTTAACAGGACAAGAGACCGTTGAGGCATTGGAACACCTGGTTAATGAATATGCTATTGGAATGGACCCGTCCCTACCCAAGATTCAAGTACTGCCGTTGTTCGCAGCGCTTCCCCAAGCCGCGCAACAACGGGTGTTCGCTCCCGCGCCACCTCGCACACGCAAAGTGATCCTGGCCACTAACATTGCCGAAACTTCGGTGACAGTGCCTGGTGTGCGCTTTGTGGTGGACTGCGGCAAAGCGAAGGTCAAGCAGTTCCGCACCCGCCTTGGACTGGATTCGCTCTTGGTTAAGCCGATTTCCAAATCGGCAGCGATTCAAAGAAAGGGTCGTGCAGGAAGAGAGGCCCCGGGTCAATGTTATCGGTTGTATACGGAAAAGGACTACCTGGCTCTGGACGAAACCAACACACCGGAGATTCTACGATGCGATCTCAGCCAGGCTATTCTTAACATGAAAGCTCGCGGAGTGGACAATGTCATGGGCTTCCCATTCCTGACGCGACCACCACGGGAGGCATTGGAAAAGGCTCTGCTTCAGTTGCTGAGCATCGAGGCACTGGAAGAGTCGGGCCAGATAGGCGCTATCGGGAAACAGATTGCCAAACTCCCGCTTACACCCACTCTCGGTCGGGTGCTCCTAGCAGCGGCAGAGAACGGACCTGGTTGTCTGACAGACGTAATCGATGTCATTTCATGTCTGAGTGTGGAGACTATTTTCCTGCACACGTCGTCGGAAGAAAAGAAGGAAGAGGCAGAGACGGCACGTCGGGATCTGTACCGACGCGAGGGCGACCATCTGACGATGATGGCCACTGTGCAGGCTTATGCGGCCGAGAATACCGATCGGAAAGCATGGGCACAGCGGCATCTCGTGTCGCACCGCGCGATGCAATCGGTGATGGTACGATATCCCTTAGTAGTATCACCTGTTCTTTACTAACGGATAACAGGACGTCCGCAAGCAACTCACCGCACAATGTCGACAGGCCAAACTGCTCCCGCCTAATGAACAACGAGGGGACCCTACGCTCACACGCGAACCATCACCTGTTCTCATCTTGAAGAGTTTCCTCACCGGCTTCGCGACCAACACGGCCCGGCTGGTCCCGGATGGCAGTTATCGTACGGTGGTCGGGAATCAGACCGTGGCGATCCACCCATCGAGCGTGTTGTTTAGCAAGAAGGTCGAGGCGATCATGTACAATGAGTATGTGTTTACGAATCGAAGCTATGCGCGGGGTGTGAGTGCAGTGCAGATGGACTGGGTTGGAGAAGCACTGGCTGGCGGACCATGATCTACTTTCTTTTCTTTTCTTTTCTTTTCTTTTCTTTTTTTTTTTTTTTTTTTTTCGATTTAATATGCATTATAGACATACCCAGAGAATAGATCTTCTGCATTGCAAGCCCCGTAAGTGCGTGATATACACCGTAATTCAAAGCGCATTGCATGCTGTACACTGCCTGTAATGAGGCTGTCAGTTCATGACCAGTTGGCAATTGCCCCGTTTGGGTCCACACAGGGCGAATTAAAGAGGAGAATTGAGTGATTCGAGTGATTTGAATGCATCATGTCTGTTTTGCTTTTGTTTGATTCCCTTGCAGAGTTTGCTGCATTTTCTGCTTTGGTCTCTCGTAGTGTGCTCCACAGCGCATAGGCTCTTGTATAATCGTATATAACGCCACGCCGTCAGCCAGATTATGTGTTATTCTTCTCTTACTCTTTAATACTCTTCTCTATGTCTTCCTCTATATAAACCATCTACATATATCACTCAAGTTGACTTCTTCCGTTATCGGCGGTTGTTGACTCGCGGTGCGTCAGAATCACCGCATCGGGCATCATCTTTACTTATTTGGGGTTTCCTTTATCTGATCTTCTCCTCCGAATATCTTGTCTCTCTGTATTCTGTTTTCTCTTCATAATTTCTCTCCATATCATCATCTCATCTCATATTCTTCTCCTACTGTTTCCGGTGCTCACTTGACCGATAACGTCAGTCACGCGGGGACGATAAGAGATAAAAACAATCGCGATCTCCATCAGCCTCACTTTCAACTTTTTTCAATCCCTCGACTTTGGCATCCTCACCACTTTATCTTCTAGTATATACCTCTAATAACTATTTCCCATGGCCCTCCGTCTACCAACGCAAGCTCCTCCCCGTCGCACCACCTCATATCCCCACTCTCAACCGTCTCTGGCGGCGCTGAGTCCCTCTGCGCCCGCTCAACTGCCCGATGACAACAACGAGGAATCTACACAATGGGTGGTCTTCTCGCCTTCTCAGCCGTCTACGATTGCTCCAACACGCACGGCCTCGACAGAGCGGGCAACGGGAATTTCGCGTCTGAGTGATTTTGAGTCGTTTGGTGGGACCCAGACGCGGTCCGTGTTTGAATTAGGCGAGGACGATGACGACGAGGAGGAAGAGGCAGAAGAACAAGAACAAGAAGAAGAACCAGATAATAATAATATCGATGAACAAGACGATGATGGTACAGAGCTGGACAGTTTAGATGATGGTCTCCATGCCTTTCGCGCACCATCGCTGGCCGATGATGAACCGCCCACCGCGGCACAGTGGGACCAAGACCGACAAGGGACGCCAGCGGTACTCCCCACACACGACGGGCTAGGAAGTTTCCAAGCATCCAGCCAGACTGTCCAGGATCAGCTCTGGCAGCATGAACAGTTTAATCCGCAACGGAGACCCGAGCTGCGGCTGCGACGGCGTTCCAGCGTACAACGGTATTTGGATATGGTCGCGGAGCAGGAGCAGATGACCAACGCGGAGCGGGAGCGGTGGCAGCGTATTGAGAAGTGGAGAATGGAGCAGAGTCGGTTGTTGTTGCAGGAGGTTGAGCGGGAGACTCGTCGGCGCAGGCGTCGACGGAGTAGTCGTGCTAGTCGGACGAGTGAGCAGACTACGTCTACTCAGCAGCAGAGTCAACATCGCGCGGTGCCTTCTGAATCGATGAAGAATGTTCCGGAGACGGCTAGCGGGCGGCCATCGTCGCAGGCTTCCTCGTCTGGTTCGACGGAATCAGGATCTGATGAATCGTTGTGGAAACGAATCACTCGAAAGGTCATTCGTGATCTGATGGGGATTGATGACAATGTGTTGTCAGTCCTCTTTGGAGAGTCGCTGCCAGATGATCCTTTGAATCAAGAACTCGCGAATGCTACGGAGCTGGACTCCTACGGTCTTGACGACCAAAATCGCTGGCAACCCAAGCTGCTTCAACGCATTGCTCGTGAACTCGGAGTTCTTGTCCACCAACTCTGCGAACAACCCGGGGCCTTCAGCACCTACCTCAGCATGTCCAACCAGATTGGGAATGAGTATGCCGGCATGCCTCTCGAACGTCGGACAGAGGAAGATGCACAGACTCGGCCATCACGGACGAGAGCGCCTTCTACTTCACTTGAAACATCGAATAACGGTGGATCTATGCCATCACCACACTTCTCCCCTACTCTTCCCGAACCCAGCGGACGGGAACATGCTGCGCAATGGGGGATTGAAGAAGATGACGATCGCATGGCTGGCACATCCGAATCCGTCCTCCAACAAGAAAAGGACTACTGGGAGAGCGATCTAGACGTCATGATGGTCTTCCGATATCTACGCAACCGCTTCGGCCGGAGCGGGAATACCACGAACAATGGCAGCAGCAACAGCAGCTCTGCAACCACTACTGCTCCTGCGTCGACAACCGCCAGTCGCATTTCTTCCCACCGCCAGACGCAATCCCAAGATGCTTCACGACGCGCAGCAATGATCCGCCAACACCACCCCCTCGTTGCGCATGCCCATTCCCGTTCTGAGGCACAAACACGCCGTCAATCTCAACATTCGGCTGTCCACTCAGGCACGGGAACTGGCATCTCCTCCCCAATCCTCCGTCAAAACTTCCGCCATCGTCCTAGTTCCAGCTGTGCCAGTCACAGCGCAAAGCTGTCAAATATCTCCAGTCGACGGACGATGACTGGTTCTAGTCGGAATTACTGGGATATCGGCGGGAGTGTTGACAGTGGGAGTGCTATTGCGCCTGTTGGGGGTGCGATGGGGGCTTGGGGGGATGTCTGATATCCAACAAAAACATATTGCATTTTGATGTTGTTTATATACGATTTTGGAGTTTTTTTTTTTTTTTTTTTTGGTTTTTGGACATCTATAAATATGTTGGGTCGAACATGAACATGAACATCTCTTGTCTGATAACATTACTTTGATATATACCTACTTTGGATATGGCGTTTCCTGGGTTTTGATCATTCAACACCATATACATTCTTGGCCCTATTGTTGATAAGTGCATTGAAGCTATATGTTTCCCAGGCTATCATGCTTGCATCTACTACTATTGACTCGGAAATAGCTCGTGGGAGTCGAAAATGCATAAATATATATTCCACATAGCGCATTCATAAACATAACAACCTTCTCAAAGACACTTATCCTTCATACACCTTAGCTTCATCCACATATAAACCTATAAGCCCAAATGTCACCACCCCATCCCTCCATCGACTCCAAAGCCGAAACCGCAGCATCCGCCGGAAACGCACCCCACCACGACGACCTATTAACTAGAATACCTCTTTGCGCGGGAATGGAATCACTCGATATGAATAACAGTCGCTGGGGGCATATGCTCCCGCCAGTGAGTGTGGTGGGGGGGTTTGACAGCGATGTCAAGTAGAAGAGGGAAGAGGCCGTTAGACGCTCGCTGATGCTGGGGCGAGGACGAGGGTGGATGGGAGCGGTGTGTTTTTTGTCTAGAGAGGATTTGGAGAGGATGGAGCTGGTGCTTGTGCGAGGTTTTTGGGGTATGGGCCGCATCTTGGGGTGCTTGGTGAGGATGGGGTTAGTGTTACTAGGGAGAGATTGGGGGAGGTTTTTCCATTGTTGTTGGATCGTGTGGCTGAAGACTAGAAAGAGAGTTGAGACCAAGGTAGGTGTACTGCAGGTATGTGACGTTGGTCATAGTAGCTAGCGAAGTATTGGGATATACCAGAGGGCCTACATCCAGGTAGATTTCACTCTTACTGTGATCAGGGTATCGAAGTCAATTAGGTCCAGTAGATGGAGTACAGCAAACAGGAACATTTTTAGCCTTTTTTTGTTCTCATTTGGCCCTAGTAAAAACGATAAATACGAACAGCACATAAAACACCTAAATCATCCCAATCTACTGAGCAACGCCCTCGTAGGCCTGGGGGAAGCGCTTCATGTTCTCCTCGACCAAACCGTGACCACGCAGGAACTGGACGTAGGCACCGTCCTGCTTGAGCTTGCCCTCCTGGCGGAGCTTGACGTACTCCTCACGGCGGACGGGGGTGAAGCCCCAGTTCTTGGAGATAATGATCTTTTGGCGACCAGGGAACTTGTAGGTGGAGCGACGCATGGCCTCGATGGCGGCGGCGCGGTTGGAGTCACGGGTGCGGATGGACAGGAGGATCTGGCCGATGTTCACACGGGCGACAATACCGTTGGGCTTACCGAAGGCACCACGCATACCGGTCTGGAGACGATCGGCACCAGCGCACGACAACATCTTGTTGATACGGACAACGTGGAAGGGGTGGGCGCGGACACGGAGGTGGAAACCTTCCTTACCGGCGATCTTGACGAGGTACCTGTATTTGTTAGCCATATGTCCATCTCGCTCTATTCCGGTTCATCGGGTCGCATACTTGTTGGCACAGATACGGGCAGCTTCGAGGGCCTCAGAGGAAAGCTGTTCGTATTCGTTGGAGACCATGTGGACGCACAGAGGGAAGTCGTCCACAGAAGCCTTCTTACGACCCAAGTCGAAGATACGGATCTTGGGGTCGGGAACACCACGGTTGAACCGGGACTTAGGGTAAGGCTGTATTGAAGAAGATCATGTTAGCTTCGTGCTTGATTTCCATTTTGGGATCCATCGAATCCATCTTCAATTTCAATCCAGTTTTGACATCGAAAAAGGTATAGGATTATGAGTTCATCACGAAGCGACCGCAAGTTCCCTGTCGAGATATGTCTTGTCGGTCGCTTCGCTCCCCCACCGTCGATATGAACCTCCCGATCACGTCCTTGGATGAAAATCCCACAAATCCCTCTCAAAATTCGAATATGGCAAACGCACCTTGTTCTTGCAGTAGCGGTAACATCTCGCGGGACGACGGGCCATTTTGACTGCTGAAAACGGACTTCCTGCGAAACGGAGGGTGTGGTTGTCGAAAAAAAGGTGGTGTCGGGGAACAAAAAGAAGGGGATTCAGGCGGTCGTCAGCGTTGATTTCCAAGCACCGCCGCTAACGAGTGGCAAAACCCTAAGCCCTAGCCGATTCCGCCAATCAGCGATCAGAGCCGAGATGACGCATCCGCTTGATTTATAAGGATTGTACAAGCATAGCGCAGCATTATTTGGATAAGATTATGTTTTATCTTATTCCGATAAGATTTAGATATGGTCAGAGATCAGTTCTTAGTTCTACTAGCCCGTTTACTGAGAATCTACTCTTGAACCAAGTACTCCGTAAGTTTTTTTTTTTTTTTTGTCATTATCTATCATTATCCGAGTATTTCAAACGTCCATACCCGAGTAGACATAACATCAAGTCTTTTTCATAACCTACTGGGCACCGGAGAGGATGTCCGAGTCACCAGCGTCCAAGATGGACATGGTCGAGCAACGGAAGAGCTTACCGCAAGCGGTACCAAGCTCAATCTGTCGAGCAAAAAGAGTATACGTCAGCCAATGTTTTTTACCCTCCAAAGCCAAGATTGACGGCTTCTTCTCAGGGTGGCTCCCAGAGCATGATTTAACTGCCGGGGCCGTGAAGCAGAGCAACCTGGAGATCCGTAAAGCACAAGAACAAACACAAACTTACGTTGTTGCCGGAGAAGTGGTGAACGGGAGCCTTGGCAAGCATGGCGTAGTACTCGAGCTCAGACTTGCGGAGAGGGGGAGCGTTGGCGGCGATGATGACGAGCTTGGCCTTGCCGTTACGGAGGGTCTTCAGGGTCGACTTGTATCCCAGAGTGACTGGATGCAAAAACACGTTAGGATAATCCTGTCTCTGTATTCGCATGCATGTCTGATTGCAATCTCACCCTTTCCACTCTTCATCACCAGGGCCAACCTGGAGTTGATGTTGTCACCAGACTTCTTGCTCTTGGGGGCCATCGTTACGCTGTCGAAGTCACCGGACTTTCGATCGAATTGAAGATAAAAAGGAGGATTGAAGGATTGAGAATGCGCTCCGGCCGTTGGTGTCTGGAGATGGTTAAGAGAGAATATTCGATGGAGTTTTTTTTTTTCGTTGTGGGAGATCCGCCGGACGGAGAGTTCATCCGCTCCGGAGGTCTGAGTCAGCAGTCCGTCTTCGGTACCAAGGTTGTAACATACGGTAACGGCAGGTAAGATACACTCTTTCTGCCTGAGGCTACTAAAGTTACGCATAGAACGGCCGAGTCGTGGCGCAGAGTCTCGTCTTTCTGGCTCTGGTGGCCCCGAATCCAGAAACATCCAACGAGGATCCTTGTGGCGGTGGGTTTCATATTATTATGTCCCTGGGCTGACATACTATGACTTACAGGGTATCCTCTGATCCTCTGGCCACTGCAAGGCACATTGTTTCGACTGCTATCTTTATCTTTTGCTGACTGAGGTTCTAGTTCTGGTGGGAAAGGGGGCGGTTCTTGGGGGCCTTGTATGTATTGGTATTACCTGACTCTCTTCCCCGGAAATAGTAGCGAATCCCCAGCAACATGCCGTTTCCATACATACATACATACATACGTGTGTCCAAACGTGTACTTACATACATGGATCCGTACATACAATCATGCTGTTTATATTATTTTAATCAGGCCAACCTTTAAATTCATAAACAAATGCAATCCTGCATGGTTCATATGCTGTTTTATTAACTGGAGGTGTTTATTCGTGGCCCCAAAAGAGTTGTCTGCATATTAACTGTGCTGCTCCCACCTTACTACTCTCTCCCACCAACTACGGACTGACTTCTCCCCACCACTGCCTAACAACGGATAGTGTGTTTTGACCGCTACTACTCCGTACAACTTCCTATATACAACACCTAATAATTTCCCGGTCGTTTCATCGTCATCGCTCGCTGACCATTTCCGGGCCGTTCTCCTGAACTTCCCCTGAATCCCATAATCGTCCTTTTTTTTTTTTTTTTTTCTTTTTTAATTATTACAACGATCATATCACTTTGCGTACAATCGCGGAGTTGATAGAGGGGAACCAGAAAAAGAAGCCAACACACCACCCACCAAACCCATCGTCGGTTTGGCCACACCGTCACCAACGCCATGTCTGCGTCACCACGCAAGCCCGGAACACCCAAATCTTCGACTGCGGCGGAGAGCTCCTCGGCTAATGGTTCGCCTTCGCGGAGTCATACTCGATCTCCCAGCGCCGCGACAAATGGCTTGACTCGTACTCCCTCCGGCCGCCAACCCGTTTCTGCGCGTGCTGCTGCCCGAAGGCCAACCCGCTCCAATCTCAGCATGTCGTCGAGTATCCCGAAAGTGAATAATGACCCGTCGGAGGAGGAGGCGCGGGCTCAGAATGCCGCTCTCATTGAGGACTTGAAGGAGCAGTTGCAGAAGGCGGAGACGGCCTCCGAGCAGTACCGGAAGCAACTCGGGGTCTTGCAGATGAAACTTGACGAGGCGGTTAGCGAACAGGGGAAATTAGAAGATCAGTCTCACGAGAGGGAGAGCAAGATTGAAGCGTTGAATGGTGAGATTCGTGAGCATGTTCGCCAGATCCGGGATCTGGAGCAGTCTCATGAAATGGAACGGAACGCTATGCTACAGGAGAAGGAACAGCAGGCCAGCCGCGAGGAGGAGATGCAGGCTACTATCCAACGATTGAAGGAGTCTGTGGCACAGAAGGACATGAAGATTAATGCTGAGAGTGGTAAGGATGTGTCGCGCTCTTGTACGAGCCCTCACCCTGAGTCCTTCCCTTTGTGAATGCCACGGTTTGCTAACACCCACACAGCTAGTTTCCGTAACCGGTCGTCCCCAGAAGTCGACGGACAGTTTGCGCCCTCGTCGCAACTCGAACGCAGCCCGTCGCGGAATAACTCTAAGCTGCTCCTACAGAAGGACAAGTTGATCGAGTCTCTCCGTCTCGAGCTGGCAGAGTCCCAGATTAAGCTTGTGGAGATGGAGAACAAGGGCGGTGGTCGTCAACGGGAACTCGAGAAGGAGCTCCTTGAGGCTCGCATGGCCAATGCTCGTCTGATGGAGGACAACGAGAGCTACCAGTTGCTTCTGAGCGAGCGGACCCTCAACGGCGACTTTGCCAAGGGCGAGTTCATGCGTGAACTTCACCCTGACACCCCTGAGCCATCCGAGGCCGCCAACGATTCAGGAAACAACCTGGGATCCTTGGCTGAGGAGCTGGAATCCATGGACGCCAAGGCCGAAACGGACCACATGCGCAAGCTCGAAACTGAGGTCCGCACCCTGAAGGACCAGAACAAGGCATTGACCCTCTACATCGAGCGCATCATCAGCCGCGTTCTTCAGCACGAGGGCTTCGAGACCATCTTGGACAAGAACGAGAACGATCCCCCGGCCAACGCGAAGCCGAAAAATCCCAGCACCGAGAAGGATCTCCCCCCGACCCCTCCTGAACACGACGATAGCGGAGGGCAGTCCTTTCTTAAAAGAGCTAGATCAGCTGTTGGACCGAATCAGCCCCCGGCCAAACCTAGGTCCCGTCCAACTAGCGTTATGCAACCACCTACAAGCATCCCGTCAGGTCCTCCCACCGCTCACGAGAACCCAAATACCGCACCTAGCATCCCGCTCAACCGTGCCCAATCCGTACGGCTTGGCCACCGTCGGGCTCGATCTGACCAAGCAGATGTCTCAGCCGCCACAGTCATCGGCCAGATATATCGCGGACGAAACTCCGGAGGTCCAGTGAGCCCCACAATCATGGGCCCCGGCTCCCGCCAGAGTCTCTTCGGCGGAAGTGTCATGTCTTCGGGTATGAGCAGCACTGGCCGTGCACCGTCACTGTCTAGTCAGCCCGAACGTAGCCGGTTGAGCAGCTCGGAAAGCGTCGCTAGCGACCTTCACGAGACCGCTTCTACTGGTGCAACTTCCAGCTCTCCTCGTTCCAGCAGCGGTATGACCAACTACACCGGAGCGGTCATGACCCAGAACAAGCTGCGTCCCTTGCGCTTGGTCAGTGAGACGCACAAGGCAGCTGAAGAAGAGGAACTTGCTCGCAAGAAGGCGAACCGGCAAAGCTGGATCCCCTGGTTCAACCGTACGAACACGAACGAGTCCACGCAATCCCCAACCTAAAGATTACGTTTTGATGCGGTCCGTTGATGATTGATACATTTACGCGTTTTATTCGTTTTATTCTATTGGCTTTTCGAATTTGATATGCCCACATTTTTTCACTGTTATCACGATGTCTACCCCCTGCTGTACTTGATCGAAGGTCAGGAAAGTTGGGACGTTATTATTGTTTTGGAATACCCTGTTACTTACTCATGGTTGCGATGGTGCTGAGCCACTATCATATGATTCATATCCATGCACAGGAGGATTGTTTACGATTGTCAATTTTCTTTTGCATTTTGACGATGGAGACGCCACTTTTTCATTGGATTGTTGTCATTAGAGTCGTCTTACGTTCTTTTTGATAGACTCTTTTTGATAGACTCTTTTTGATGCTCCCCTGTTGCCGTTTATCAGATCATATGAAATCCCTTTTGACGAACATACGAAGTTATTATATATTGTTGTGGATAGATAGTTGATATTTTGCAGTAATTAAATCTCAGACTTGACATAAATCTTGTAGTACTTGCATGATATTCTAATTGAAAACATCAGTAGTTAGAACGAAGTACCTTACGTATATTAGCCCAAGACCCCGAACTATGCCCTAGAGGTGCCGCAGGAGGGTGATGGCTCTGCATGTTGTCCACTGGAATGGCTGAGCTTCAACATGAATCAAGACTTCAAACCTATTATTTGCTTCACAGAATCAACTAAATAGCATACATAGCGCGGATAATTAATCCTTGGCTTCATGCATAGGGATATACTTCGGAACAACGTTGCGGCGTCTCCGCGCTCAGCGGCCAGGTTACAGTAACCAAAGTAAATACGGAGTAGCGCCTCGACCGCAGCCATCGCAATCAGCAATCATTCCCAAGAAAACACCTCCTGCAACTAATCGCCACAATGCCCGGCTCCCTCTCCCTCTTCTCCGTCAACGCGGTGCTCCTCATGTCCGCCGACGACGGCTCTCGCATCTTCGCCAAGTACTTCTCGCCGCCTCACCCCCCGGCCGGCGTTGCGCCCAATTCCACCGATTACCCCGGTGCCAATCCCTATCCGACGGTGAAGGAGCAGAAGGCATTTGAGCAGGGTCTGCTCGAGAAGACGAATAAGCAGACTAGTGATGTGATCCTTTACGATAATAGGATCGTGGTGTTTAAGATGGAGAGCGATGTGATGCTTTATGTGGTTGGGAGTGCGGAGGAGAATGAGGTGTTGTTGTATAATGTGGTTTTGTCGTTGAGGGATGCGTTGGGAATTTTGTTCAAGTAAGTCTCTTACTGGTGGTGGTGGTGTAATCTGGGTTGAAGGGAAGGACATGTGGCTGATTGATATCCTTTTTACCACCAGGGGCGCCACGGACAAGCGCACAATCGTCGAAAACTACGACCTAGTCGCCCTCGCCATTGACGAGCTCATCGATGACGGTATCATCCTCGAGACCGACCCCGTCCTCATCGCCTCTCGCGTCAGCCGTGCACCTGCCCCCGATGCGCCGAACATGAAGAACATCGACCTCTCGGAACAAGGATTGATGAATGCCTGGGAGTTTGGAAAGAGGCGTCTGGCAGAGGGATTGCGGCAGATGTAGATTGTCGGGTTTCTTTTTTTTTTCTTTCTTTCTTTCTGTGTTTTAAGCATTGGTTCTGAGATTTAATCTGGCTGGTCCGGCGCAGTATTGTGTGATGCTCTTTGTTTATGACGGCTATTGATATATCCAATTTCTTCGTCTTCATATATTATATATTGGGATTGAGCATTCTGTATAGACCTTGTTTGCTGAGTTGGGGCTTTTCGGGATTTCTCCATTGGCGGGGCGTAGTGGGCGTTAAATCAGGACAGGAACGTATACCAAAACAGCTGCGATTGATGCTCTAATCCTTGGTTTTCTTAGGTCTCCAAATAGTAATTGCCCTGAATAAGCTACTATCGAAAACAAATCGAAAGTGATCGAAAAAGGAAACGGAAAAAACGCTGCCCCGCATACGTCACGTTTCCAGTCAAATCTCCTTCGCAACTTCGGAGCTTCAATTTATGACTCTTCCCCCCCCGAACAGCTTTGCTGCTGAACAGAGGTCCATTGACCAACAAATAAGCAAGATGAAGCAAAGATTCTCGTCTTTGGACGTCAAGGTTTGCTTTCCTTCTTGGGTAAACAGTGTCGCGCACAAACTCACACGACTAGGTTATTACCCGCGAGCTCGCCTCGGAGGTAGTCAATCTGCGAGTATCCAACATTTACGATCTCTCGTCGGTACGTCAAGCAATCCTACCCTGCTCCTACGCCAATATCTAACCTGGCATTGCATCACAGAGAATCTTCCTCTTCAAACTCGCCAAACCCGACCACCGCAGACAACTAATCATCGACTCCGGCTTCCGCTGCCATGTCACGCAATACTCACGAACAACAGCAACAACACCCTCCCACTTCGTAACCCGTCTCCGCAAAGCCCTGAAATCGCGCCGCGTGACCTCCGTCCAACAAATCGGCACAGACCGCATCATCGACTTCTCCTTCAGCGATGGCATGTACCATTTATTCCTGGAGTTCTACGCAGGCGGGAACATCATCCTCACCGATCGCGAGTATAATATCCTAGCTGTGTTCCGGACGGTGCCTGAGGAGGAGGTCCGGGTTGGGTTGAAGTATACGGTTACCGATAAGCAGAATTACCACGGGGTGCCGGATATCACGCCGGAGAGAATTCGGGGGACGTTGGAGAAGGCGCAGGAGGCGTTTGCGAAGGAGGAGGCGGGGCCGAAGAAGTCGAAGAAGAAGGGGGTGGATGTTTTGAGGAAGGCGCTGTCTCAGGGGTTTCCGGAGTATCCGCCGCTGCTTCTGGATCATGCGTTCGCTGTGAAGGAGTTTGATTCGGCGACGCCGTTGGCGCAGGTTTTGCAGGATGAGAGTCTTTTGCAGGGGGTGTTTGGTGTTTTGGAGGAGGCGCGGAGTGTCTCTGAAGAGCTTTCTGCGAAGGATAGTCATCCGGGCTATATCGTCGCCAAAGAGGATACTCGACCTGCCGAACCCGCCGCTGAGGACGAGAATGAAGAACCGAAGAAGCCAGCTTTGCTCTACGAAGACTTCCATCCTTTCAAGCCCCGACAGTTCGCGGGGAAACAGGATATCACGATTCTGGAATTCGACCGCTTCAACGCTACTATCGACGAGTACTTCTCATCCGTGGAGTCCCAGAAGCTGGAATCGAGACTCACGGAACGCGAGGAGGCAGCGAAGAAAAAGCTCGATGCAGTCAAACAGGAGCACCAGAAGCGTCTGGGAGAGCTTGAGAAGGCCCAGTATCTACATATCCACAAAGCAGGTGCAATTGAGGATAACGTTTACCGTGTCCAGGAAGCTATGGATGCAGTTAACGGCCTGATCGCCCAGGGAATGGATTGGGTGGAAATTGAACGCTTGGTCGAGATGGAGCAAGGTCGTGGTAACCCGGTTGCCAAGGTTATCAAGCTGCCGCTGAAGCTGCACGAGAACACTATCACTTTGCTCCTGGGTGAAGCGGGAAATGTTGAAGACGAGGATGAGAAGATCTTTACTGATGATGAGTCCGAGGAAGAATCGGAGGATGAGGAACAGGAGGAGGCTAAAGCTGCGGAGAGGCAGTCTGCGTTGCTGACGATCGACATCGACCTTGGTCTTACGCCGTGGGCAAACGCGTCCCAGTACTACGACCAGAAGAAGGTGGCTGCCGCGAAGCAGCAAAAGACGGCTCAATCGTCTACCAAGGCGCTGAAGAGTCACGAGAAGAAGGTTACTCAGGATTTGAAGCGTGGGCTGAAGCAAGAGAAGCAAGTCTTGCATCTCTCTAGAAACCCTTTCTGGTTCGAAAAGTTCCTGTTCTTCATCTCTTCAGAAGGCTACTTGGTCTTGGGTGGTCGCGACGCCATGCAAAGCGAAATGCTTTACCGGCGCCAGCTCAAAAAAGGCGACATCTTCGTAAACGCCGATCTGCAAGGCGCTACGCCCATGGTCGTCAAGAACAGACCCGGAGCTGCCAACGCGCCGATCCCCCCAAGCACCCTTTCCCAAGCTGGTAACCTCTGCGTCTCTACCTCGAGCGCTTGGGATTCCAAGGCAGTCATGCCTGCATACTGGGTTGAGGCGAGCCAAGTGACCAAGACTGGCCCTGGCGGTATTGTGCCTACGGGTGAATTTATCGTTAATGGAGAGAAGAACTTTTTGGCTCCGTCGCAGCTTGTTCTTGGCTTTGGTGTGACGTTTCAGGTTAGCAAGGAGAGTCTTCGGAACCATAAGACTGGGAGATTTGACACCCCGGAGGTCGCTGAGGGGCTTCCTGCGGCAGAGCCAGTTGAGCGTAAAGAGTTCGTCCAGGAGCAGATTACAACGGAAGCTCCGAAGGAAGCTGGGGATGTTAACGGAAAGGAGCAAGATGTGAAACAAGAACAGGAGCAAGAACAGGATTCCGAATTGGATGAGGAGGATCAGGATCAAGCTCCTGCGAAGAATCCCCTTCAACGCGGACTTTCTGAGGCGCAGAATGAGCCTGGTAGCCCTGAGCCAGATGCGAAGGATGCTGAAGGCGAGGACCAGGAGAACGGAGAGGCGGGACAAGAACCAGAAGAAGAGGGGGCAGAGAACGAAGAGGCCCAAGATGAGGCAGAGGAACAAGCACCAGAGGCAGAAGAAGATCAACAACTCTCCGCAAGAGAGCGACGCGCGCTTCGAAAAGGTCAACTCGACTCGCCAGCCCCAGCACCCAAAGGCAAGCCTTCTGCACAGTCTAAACAGCAAGCAGCCAAGCAACCACATGCTCCTACACGCGGCAAGAAGGCCAAGAACAAGAAGGCCGCAGCCAAGTACGCAGACCAAGACGAGGACGAACGCGAACTCGCACTCCGCGTCCTTGGCGGCAAGAGCGCCAAAACCGAAAAGGCTGAAGCCGCAGCAGCAGCAAAGGAAGCCCGCGAGCGCGAAGCTGAAGCAGCGAAGAAGCGCCGCAAGGCCCAGCACGAACGCGCCGCGGAAGCAGAGCGCAAACGACAAGCACTTTTCGAAGCTGATGACTACGACGAGGAAACTGCGGCTGCTGAGGCAGCGGACCTTTCCTGGATCCCGGCCCTTGTTGGCACTCCCCACCCCGAAGATGAGATAATCGCTGCGATTCCCATCTGCGCACCATGGGCCTCTCTGGGCCGCTACAAGTACCGCGTGAAGTTGCAGCCGGGTGCCGTGAAGAAGGGCAAGGCTGTGAAGGAGATCATTGGACGATGGGTAGCGGAGACCACTACCGGGAAGGTGAAGAAGGAACAGGCCGAGGATCTGGGTCTCAGTCTGGCTGATGCGGAGAAATTGCGGACTCGGGAAGGGGAGTTGATCAAGACGTGGAAGGAGACGGAGATTATCAACACGGTGCCTGTGGGTAAGGTGCGGATTATGGGGGCTACAGGTGGAGGAGGTGGTGGTGGAGACTCTAAGGGGAAGGGCAAGGGTGGTGATCCTAAAGGTGGTAATGCTAAGGGAGGAAAGGGTGGAAAGAAGAAATAGACCTGATGTCTACAGATAAGATATGGTTTTAGGATATGGTTTGTATAGAATAGAGAACAGGATATATATGTTCGGTTGCTGTACAGCACTCCACCTCCAATGGATATACGGTCTAGAACCGAATATTTGATGGCATCTGCATCTTTGTGCCTCAATTCTTTTTATAGATCTGGAGACTACACTGGAATAGATATGCGAAATCGGAAACCAAATGCATACCGCTTAGTCATCGTTGATGTCATCGCGAAGATTTTCGATCATTTCAAAAGATGGATTCAAAGCAGGAAATGCCATGAAGGATTGTCACTCTTAGCCTCGCTTATCGTCCACTGCCAAGCGCAAGAGAAGAAATTACACCCAGGGACACATACAAAAGAGTATTCTGAAAAGCAGCCCTACAGACCCCACGCACACTCTCCAGACTTCACCCCGCGACTACGACATCGCACTTACGGATTACACTTCTACCCAATTCCCGGTCTTGATCCCAGTGGACTCGTCAGATAATATCCACTGTCGTCATAAGGAGCGTCAAGTTGTTGCCTTATATTCGTCCTTTTATTGCTGGCGGCCGCGCCGTCAGGTCTATCACCAACGCAGCAACCGCGACGATGACGAACGACCAGACCACCCGAATCCTCCCCGTCCAACGATTGAACATCGAAGGTCCCAAGAACAAGCCTCTTCCAGAATGGTGGGCGAGTGAGCGCCAGAACAAGACCCCAGAGGCCACGGCCATCGAAGAGGCAGCAGAACTTCTACGAACGAGCGATATCCCCGTTGCGTTTCCCACGGAGACGGTATATGGATTGGGAGCTGATGCCACGCGGAGTGCAGCGGTGCAGGGGATTTACAAGGCGAAGCAGAGACCGTCGGATAACCCGTTGATCGTGCATGTGGATTCCCTGGTGATGCTGGAGCGTCTGCTCAACCCCGGTATGAGCGCGGCCGATACAACCGATACACCACTCAAGTCGATTCCCTCGATCTACCACACGCTGCTCTCGCGTTTCTGGCCGGGTCCTCTTACGGTTATTCTTCCGAATCCGTCCGGGTCGTCGTTGGCTAAGGAGGTTACTTCGCATCTGACTACGTTTGGTGTGCGCATGCCTGCGTCGCCGTTGGCGCGTCTGTTGATTCATGCTGCGGATAGGCCCTTGGCTGCGCCGTCAGCTAATGCGTCTACAAAGCCGTCTCCGACGACGGCGCAGCATGTTCACCATGACCTTCAGGGTCGGATTGAGGTCATTCTCGACGGTGGCCCGTGTGCGGTCGGGGTGGAGAGTACGGTTGTTGATGGACTATCAGACCCTCCTGTCATTCTGCGCCCTGGCGGAATTGGCATTGACGACCTACGCCAGTGCGAAGGCTGGGAGAATGTGCAGATCGCATACAACGATGGCAGTCACGAGGTCAAGGAAGCCCCTCGGGCACCAGGAATGAAATACCGCCACTACTCCCCCAAGGCGCGGGTAGTCCTATTTGAGCCCGAATGCAGCGAAGAAAAGGTCACCAAGCGCGTGCGCAAGGATATGGAAGACAGCGCAGTGGGCTCACACTCAGTCGGAATCGTGCGCACCCGTCACTGGACACCAGGGCTAGGCCTGTACGAACCCGTGGAGAAAGAAAAGACCCTACAGCGCATCAAAGAAGCACCTACCGGCAGCTTGGTCAGATTCTCTGCCCCGCTCAAGGACCATGTGAAGGATTGCTTTACATCGAAGCCGGCATATGATTGCGCGCTGGGGACGGATATCGGGCAGATTGCTCGGGGGCTGTTTGCGGCTTTGCGCGCGATGGATGATGAAGAGGTAGATGTCATCTATGTTGAGGGACTGGTGGCTGAGCATGGGGATTTGCATGCTGCTGTTATGAATCGGTTGAGGAAGGCTGCTGGAGCGGAGCTGAAGGTATAGCGTAGTGGACTACACATAGATATCTGGCATGGCTTTTTTGTACACAATTCCTTTTGGCTTTGCTAGTACACTCTCCTCTTATGTCGCTATTTACGAGCAATGAAATCAATGCACACGAACTACAGCCTGATTATTCATCTTTCTCTAGCCTTAGTTATGACTCCATCGGCGCTCTCCGACGTCAACGGTCGACGCCGTAGTTGAACCCCACTTATCAGCGACAATCTTCAATTCTTTTCCTTCTATTTCAATCAGTATTCTCTGTCGCATCGTCTACTTTACTATTTTACCAGTCTGTTCCGGCGTGTTTGCTCGATTGAGTATGTCCGTTGTGGACCGTCGCGAGCAGAACCAGATATTGGCGATTCACGGGCCTCAGAGCTTGAACGGGATTGAATGACTAGACTATATTAATGTTGCTGATAGAGCGCAGAATTTGGCGGGACGATTGATGATTCACGATTCTTCTATATAACTAGCTCTCGCATTTCGTGTTGTACTTTTTCTTTTTCTTTTTTCTCTTATCATCTGGTAATCGCAATCGCAAGTACAGACACCATGTGCCAGACCAAGTTACACGAATTCCTTCAGGGCCTCCCCAAATGCGAGCACCACCTTCACCTTGAGGGTTGCATGACACCCCAATTGATCTTCCAACTAGCCGAGAGAAACGGCGTCAAACCACCAGACCCAGAAACCAACCCAGCCTACGAATCCATCGAGACTCTCACACGCCGCTACGGCCATTTCACCTCTCTCGATGACTTCCTCAGCTTCTACTTCCAGGGCATGTCAGTGCTCCTACACGAGTCCGACTTTACAGATCTCGCATTCGCCTACTTCAAAAAAGCCCATGAAGACGGCGTTCACCACGCAGAGGTCTTCTTCGACCCCCAGGTCCACCAGCAGCGCGGTATCACCTACGAGACTATCGTCTCGGGTTTCGTCGCAGGATGCAAGAAAGCCGAACAGGAATTGGGTCTGTCAACCCGTCTGATTATGTGCTTTGTGCGCCATCTTCCCGTCGATTCTGCGCAGAAATTGTACGAGGAAGCTCTTGCGCATAACCACTTCGAAGACGGAACGCTACACGGACTCGGCTGGTCGAGTAGCGAGGTCGGTCCGCCAAAGGATATGTATCGGGAGCAGTACGCATCTGCCTCTGCCAAGGGTATCCCACTGACTGCGCATGCGGGAGAGGAGGGCGACCCGACATACATCAGCACGGCATTGGAGCTAGGCGCGCAGCGGATCGACCACGGAATTCGATTGGTAGAGGATCCCGAGTTGATGGAGCGGATTGTCCGCGAGGAGGTTCTGTTGACCGTATGTCCGTTATCGAATGTGCGATTACGGTGCGTGAGTGCGCTGGACGAGGTGCCGATTCGGAAGTTCTTGGATGCGGGCGTCAAGTTCTCGATTAACAGTGATGATCCGGCGTACTTTGGGGGGTATATTCTGGATAACTACTGTGCTGTGCAGGAGGCATTTCAGTTGTCGTTTAGGGAGTGGAGGACTATTGCTGAGAATAGTGTGAGTGAGAGCTGGATTTCGGAGGAGAGGAAGGGGGAGTTATTGGGGCGGATTGATGAACATGTTCGGAAGTATGATGCTGAGGCATAGATCAGTGAGCAAGTAAATAATAAGTGCATATTTTTCTGTATATAGAAGACGGATTGGGAAGGCGGTTGTACGCGATCAGCCCATATTGATACTGTTCTGGGCTTAGTACATTTAAAGATCATGTGACCTTGATCTTCTAAAGACGGAAATTCATTGCCAGACGAACAACACGGTTTCGCGCTAATTGGCTGAAAATTTGATGCCGTGGTTGTTTTTAGAATGAGAAACAGCTGTGTTTGCTATACACTTTGTGTTTTTGTGGGAGACGTGGCTGGGATTTTGTTTTAGACTGAGACTCGAGCGCTTAAGTCGAGTACTGTTGATCGCCGCAAAAAGTCCATAGTGACCCAGAAACTAGAGAAACGGTGAATTGTAATCTCAGATCCAATAAAAAAAGCTATGGAAGAATAAATTAGCATGTAACCTGTAGTAAGCGACATTGAGTGGCCGCCGGAGTAATACGCTGCATCCCCTCACAGACAGTCGGCGGCTTCATGCTTCACTCTGCATCATCTTCACTTTCACCATATTTTCTCCCCCCAGGAACATTTTCTTGCTTTCCGTCTCATCCACACATTCTCACTATATCTCTTCACTAATATCCCTTTTTCATTCCATCACCACTGATTCCTCTCCTCTGCCTACAGCCTATTTCCTCTGGTGTTACTTTTCTGCCACCCCTCCTGCGGAGCGTCAGCAACCCCATTACCACGAGTCTCTCAGCGCTTTCGCCGTCTGATATTCATCTACAGTGACTTATCGGTCTTTCTAATCTGACAAATAGTTCCTCAGCTACTGTGAAGCCATACAGTGACTGCTGTTCATCCACGATCCCTCCGAGAACCTCTCGAACAAGCACCTTCCGGTCCTTTCCACGACCTCCTTTCCTCCTTACAGTTCTACATTCCTTTACCGGCACTATTATTATTTTCATATCCGATCGATCGAATAGTTGTATGCGTTGAGGTGGTCTACGGATATCCAACACTAGCACACCGGGTGGACGGCCGTACGGCCGTCTCACATCGACACGCGGGAGGAGGTTGTCGAGGTAAAGAAAAGAAGAGCTAGCTATTGTGTCAAAACGGTCAATTACGAACAACGGAAGTGTTATTTGATATTGTTTGAACGTGTCTTCAGAAAGTTGAAAAGCTGTCTACTGAGGTTCTCTTTGGGTACTCGTCTTGCCACTACGTGATATTGTTGCACCTGCGTTTGGATTAGGCTATGGACGCCCAGTATCCCTTTGCTTCTCGCGACGATATCTGGCGGGTTTTTGACGAGCTGAAGGATCTTCACGTCGCGCAGTTTGAACAGGCGGAGCGGATTGCGAGGTTGGAGCGGCGGAGGGACGAGGATGCGAGACTGCGGAGTGCTTGGGGACCAGTGTCGCCTTTTCTGACTCCCATCGGGGGGTCTGTTGCCGTAGGTATGTTACGGTCTTTTTGGTGCTGGGGTATGGGTATAAGCTAATGGTTGATTGCAGAGTCAGCATACCACTCCCCTACCGACGCGTTCAAAGGATTTGATCAAGGGCAACACGGCGTTATGAATACAATGGACACGGAGGAGGAACCGAGGCGAGGAACATCTAGGGCGAACAGTGTTCGATTTGATGAGAGTGCGATTCACGGGTACTATGGTCAAGCCAGTCGGTCTACCAGTGAGCTTCCGCTGCGAACTGGGAGTGGATTGGCATGTCTGCCGTTGTCGGAACGTTCCTTATCACACCGTTCTGATGGAAGGCTGAGCTCGTCCGGCCAATCCCATCATTCTGTGCGTACCAACAGTTTGGGTCTGGAGACGACCAGTCGGATGATGAGTTCGTCGGTCAGCGACTCACCTCTCATCCCTCCGCCAGGTCTTTTTCTGTTGGGTCCGGTGCCTTGCATCATTCGCTGTTGGCTGACTACTAATTTCTCTAATGACTCTCTCCTTTATGCCGCTGTCTGTTCAGGCTCCTACATGTCGTCGTTGGGCTATCCGATGGTACAGAAACTCGGTCTGGAGGATTTGATGACACAGGAGGAAGATTCCCGGTTCATTAAATTGCCGTTGTATCTTCCGGAAGCGAGTGTGCATCAGTCCTCGTCACGTTGCAGTAGTCCGGAACCGCAGCTGCCGACATTGACCATTCGATTTCTTGTGCGCAACGTCGATCCGAATGACCAGTCTATTCAGATCGTGCTTGGAAGCGATGTTCTTCGTTCACACAACGCGGATATTCTCTTCTCACAAGACAAGATCATTATGGTTGACGATGAGAGGAATAAGGTCTCCATACCTCTTGTACGGCCGGAAAACGACTCCGTCTTCAGGTCTCTTTCCACTGTGACTGATACCTCACGTGCTGAACCTTTGACACGGTTGCGGCAGGAGAGCGAACCACAGACTAATGGACATGCCCCTGCTGGTGTGATCGGCCAGCCGGCAATCAGCACCATTCGACGACAGTCAACGTCTGTGCCTGCCTCAGCCAGAGTCTCTGAGGGTGAGGAAGAGCGAAAACCTCCTAGTCGCCCTTCGACTTCGCATCAAACCGGCGACACTAGCCACCAGCAGGGTCCAATCAAGCCACAAACATCCACTGAATCTCAACCAAACACACCTACCGCACCTGGCGCTCACGTCTGGGGATCCTGGAGACGTGAAACTAAACCAGACTCGACCGCTTCTACGCCAGCGACAAAGCCATCACGGGGTCGTACAATGAAAGTCCTCCGTCCTACTAAATCTTCGACGCGAATGTCAATGACACAGGGCGGTACGGACACATCCGCAGAGCAACAGAGTAATAACAGCCAGAATCAGTACCAGTCTGAGAGTAGTCGGTTGAACAAGCAATGGGGATCGAATCCTGTTGGAGGTGCGTCGGCGTTTGGGTGGCTGAATTCGTCACAGCCGAGGCAGTTTGGGACGAATCCTAAGTGAAATAGATTAGGCGTTTCTTTGTCTCGTCTTAGTTGCTTGTCTGGGAGTTGTGATCGTATGATCTCGTGTTTGGTGCTCGTGGTTAGTGTCATGAGCTGCCACGCGTATTCATGGCGATGAATCGAAATACTTCATAGAGGTCCCATTCGCAAACTATATATACAGTAGCAGTAGTAAGGCGATCACATCTTCGCCAAAGCCCCCAACGCCCCCTTGGTTTCCTCCTTGGACTCCTTAACCAACCCACTAATCGCCTTAAACTCCCCCCGACTCGCATCCCCCAACATCTCAAAAATAACCCCCTCACTCGTCGTAACCACAACCCCTGCATCCCTCAACCTCGCCAACGCAACCCCCCTCTCCTCAACATTCATACTACTAACCCCATCAACAACAACATAAACCCGATGCCCGCGCTCCAGCAAATCAAGCGCCGTCTGCGTAACACACACATGCGTCTCAATCCCCACGATAATCGCATCGAGCGGCGTCTCCCCTTTCCCAGCGTTGGGAAGGAGGGGAATGATCTCGGGCGTTACCATTGAGAAAAGCGTTTTGTCGACGTTGGCGCGGATATGCGGGCCCGTGAGGTGCGGTTGGAGGTCGGTGATTGTGTCGCCGAGGCGGGCGCGATTTTGGGTGGTTATGTAGGTAGGGGTTTGAAGGGTTGTGGCGGCTTTGAGAAGTTTGGTTGTTGTGTTTACGCTGGTTTTGTTAGTTGGTGTTGAATGGGGGAATGAGGAGAATGAGGATGGAGAGGGGGCGGGGGGAAGGCGTACAGTTTGGGGAATTCGTAGATGCCAGGGCGGAATTTCTCTTGGATGTCGCAGATGCTGTTATCGTGTTAGGGACTGGGTTTGGTATGTTCGGGAAATGGACGTACAACAGGGCCGGGTTACCTAGATCATGGTTAATTCTGTTGTGTATGAGGTTCATGGTGCTGGCATCTTACGAATCCGGCATGCTCTTGAGATTGAAGCCATATCGGTATAGTGTGATATTCAATTGCTGTTGAATAGAATGAAGGAGATGATTGCGATGGCAAAGGAGAAGAATAGAGTGAGATTAGAGATGCTGCGGAGAATATCGGAGCGGGGAAAGACTTTGCGGGGAAACGGAAAACTTCTATTGCCTGATTCATCAGGCATATTTTGAGTTGGAGATCTAACTAACTAGTTAACTAACTGTATTTTGTTCTATGTCCTGGGTATCTATCTACTTTATAACACTACCTACCGGTAAGATTACACCTTAACCTCCCGAATCTTCCCCCGTCCATCAAGCCAGCTATCATCGCCTTTCAACGCCGCCTGACGGATAGCATACAATTCATCCAAGAAAGCAGGCACAAAGCTTCCCGGGCCGCGGACATATTCCTTAGCCGCGGCGTTCTCGGATGCGATTTCGTACATCAGGAGGCCGGAGAGGACGGCGAGGAGTTTGTCGGAGCGGTGGGTTGCTAGGAAGCAGCCGGAGATGGCGCCGATTGCGCAGCCGGTCTGGTAGTGTTTGGTTAGTATTGATGGTTTGGTAGTGAGAGGAGGTGAAGGGGGTGGACGTACACCGGTGACTTGGCCGAGAAGTTCGTGGCCATTCTCAACGGCAATCACGCGTTCGCCGTCGCTGAGGTAGTCGACGGCTCCTGTCATGAGGATGATGTTTCCTATGACTGTCAGAGCTTGATCAATCAAGAACAAAGAACAGGTCACTTACGCTCCCTCCGTGCCAGATCCCGAACCAAGGCGGCCTTCTCTTCACCACTCAGACTGCTCGGTCCACTGTCAACGCCGCGCTGTGTTGCCGCATTTCCCGAGATCTGCTTGATTTCCCCTTCGTTGCCTTTGATGAGATCGAAGTATCCACCTGCCATGAGCGTCTGAACTGCGTTGCGGCGGATTTGGGTAGCTGCGGCTCCAACTGGGTCGTAAACGACTGGGTTCCCGCGCTCGTTGTAGTCTTTCATGGCTTTGAGGTTGTTGGGAATGCTTTCGCTGGTGAGAGTGCCCATGTTGATGACTAGAGCGCCGTCGAATTGGGCGATGTCCACGGCTTCGTCGCCGTATGGGGACATAATAGGCGATGCGCCCCTGTAAATGTCAGTCGCGAGATATCACAGTAGAACTTAGACCAGAGACTCACATAGAAAGAACAACATTCGCAACAAAGTTAGCCACAACATAGTTAATCATGTTGTGCACCAAAGGATGCGCCTTGACAACTTCACGCACAAATCCAGGCACCTCACCCAGCAATGAACCCGCTTCATCAGCCCTAAGAGCCTTGGAAAGTGTAGCAAAAGGAGCCGCAGCATTGATGCGCTTTGCGAAATCTTCAGCAGCAGCCTTCGGGTCATCAGCCGCCATAATAGCGCTGACGATGGCAACACCATCAAGTCCCTTCCTAGGGGCCTGAGACTGGTACAGAACGCGCTGAACGTTGGACAGGTTGATTCCGCCAATGGAGACGGTGCCAACGGAGCTGCCGGTGTCGGAGATGGCATCGAGGATGGCTTGAGTGCCGGCGGTGCCGATGATGTGTTTTGTGTTGGTTTTTCTGCTGTCGTTAGGTTTCCTGTGATGTGTAATAGCATTGGCCAGAAATACGTACGTTGGTGTCGCAAACATAGTCCCTATCCCGAGGTAGTCAGCACCGGCGTCGATGGCCGCTTGGGCTTCCTCAACAGATGCGGCGCTGATGCCGATAATGGCATTTTCGGGGAGGATCTTCTTAGCCTCAGTGATGACTATCACAGTCAGTTTGGTTCCCCTTCTAGTCCAGAATTCAAGACATACGCATATCATCCTGCCCCAAATGAACCCCCTCAACACCCGCCGCAAGAGCAACATCCACCCGATCATTGATCAGCAACGGCACATTATAAGCGCGAGTAACCCCGTGCAGCTTCTTGGCTGTCTCAACCTGAACACCCGTGTCACTTTTCTTATCTCTATACTGGACGATGGTTACTCCTGGATGGACATTAGCGGGGAAGTAGCACCAGACACAGGGAAGAAAGACAATTGCTGACCTCCTTTAAGAGCCTCCTCCACGACAGCGCAGATATCCCGGCCCTTGAGGATGGCAGGGGTTGAGTCTGTGACTAGGTAGACGGAGAGGTCTAGGGGGTTTTTTTGGGCCATTGTGATGTATTTTATTTAGACTATTGGGGTTGGGGTGGTATGGAGGGGTTGAGGTTTTTTGCGATGACGTCGGGAGAGATGTGGGTCTACCCGGAGGACTCTCTCCGGGCCCTAATCACGGCACTGTAAAGCAACTGCATTGGTATGTTTCTTTCTGTGCTGGATTATTCCGGAGTAATTGTAGAATAATGTTCTTGCCACAAGCCCGGCTATGTCGGGGAACCCCTTTAAAGACATCGTTCAGCACAAGCATCCAAGTCTGTCAAACCACGCAGTCAACCCCCAATGCCATTTACACGGCTCACTGGCCACCCGACAGTATGCAGCTGCATACCCCAAATAACTACATATATGCAGCCATGGCTCCACCCGCCCCATCCGTGGAACCACTTCCCCGGACATGTGCGAGCTTTCATGCGACAGTCATGTTGATGTCTTGAATGTGCTGCGTTTAGCCTTGCCAATACTGGACACGCCTCTTTCGGGGGGTTTTAGCGAATTGATTTCACTCTTGATGTGTGGATCGTCGTTGCTTGAAAATCTCCGCAGTGGATATGAGTTTACATGTCTATTCGGACCCATTGACTCGATTTGGGGATGAGAATGGATCGCACATAGTACGATATGCACACGACTGATTACCTCACGTCAGATTGCTACGAATACGGGTGGACACTGCTAGTGGAACTGGAATAAGAGATTATTCTCTTGAAGAGACTCAATTGCAGGGAACAGACAGCCTGGGGGGGGTGGTTATATAAGACAGCCTCAATCCAGCATTGAAATCATCAACTAAACAGCCAGACCAACAGAAAAACAGTTACAAACTCCAGTTGCTCACCATAAAGCTCACTATTCTCACTTCTTTGGGTTTCGCCCTCTTCACTGCCCTAGGCGTGGTGGCCAGCCCAGTCGACTTTGACTCCAACTCTCTGGACGTGAGAGACGAAGCCATTCAAGCTGGCGTTGCTGAGGCCAACGTCTTTGAAGAAGCCAACATTGCTGATGAAGCTGGTGAAGTCGATGTCGCCGCTGAAGACGGCGAAGCTGGTACCCTGATTCATTATGATGGAGTAAGTGCCCTGCCTGATATCTGTTTCAATGTATTATGGAAAAAGAACTAACCAATTGCTTTATTCAGTACTGCTCTAACAAGAACAACCAATGCCGCTACGAGGCCCAAAGCGGTAGGACTGCTATTTGTCGCTGCCAGGTCAAGCGGGTAAGCGATTCCAATTCCCCGATGTTAGTTATTTTCATGCTCCTGGCTAATATTCCTTTCTTAACTTTCAATTGTGGAAGCGCGCACGGAAAGTGCTTCTTTGACAGCGTTAACAGGCACTGTACTTGCTACTAGAGGTTATCTTGTTACTGGAAAGGGTATCTCTGAATGAGCTGTGGAGAAGTGGGGTTTCTTCTGGTTACGAGAATGTGGTTGGTGTTTTTAACTAAAGTCATTCGTTATTGCCAAGAAGCACGAGTCAGTATTCAGCATGTCTACTCGTCAAAAACATGATCTTAGATTTTATGGGAAAATACAAAAATTTTTGCATTACAATTATGTCCAACGCTTGATTGTATAAGATACAGAACCATAACCTGTTGAAGGAATCGGCACTCATGCAGACCTAACTAAAAGGGAATTTTGAACACCCTCAGAGTCTCAGTAGTAACATAATCCATAATCACTTATCAGAGCTCTCATCACCCTTGACTAATTTTTCGAGACCCGAGAACGCCATATCCTGACGCAAACCATCACCCGCAGCCTCAAACACCCGGAGTATCTTCGAATTTCTCTCCTCGGTATGACCCAACATCATCTCGATAGCCTCCGTGGCCTGCTCGGCAAGATGCTTCTCCTCAGCCTGTTTTGCTTCGTCGGCGATTTCATGTAGACGCTTCAGCCAGTACAACAGTCTCCAGGAATTGAATCCAGCAGGCGCGCGTTGACCCAGTTCTGACTTCACGAAAGTATCACCACCTTGCGCAATACTGCTAGAGCAATCGTTCCAGGACATATCCGACAGCAGAATGATATTATACCCAGCCTCACGGATCCAAGCACACGCAACCGGGAGCAAAGCAGCAATGTCAAGATCATGCATTATCCGACCAGAGTTCTCATCAGTGGTCTCGGACACGCGAAGGAGTCGTTCAGTCTCGAACATCTCGCGGAACGCCAACAGGGCGATCTGGCACAGTCTATCCTTGCCCAGACGCGTAGAGGCAAGCTTGGCGAGAAAAGACGCGAAACTCAGACGCTCGTTCGCCTTCACCATCGCACAATCATTAACCCAGAAGTCCGTCATATCAGCGACAAAGAAGGGCAGGTCATTCCAGAGAGCCCCAGAAGGAGTCCTAGCAATTTCAAACCCACAGCCACTCGGCGCAGGTCTCATCAGCGGTCCTCATCCCTTGGTGCGCAGGATATCAAGCACCAATCTGTCATGCTCAGCGCTTTCATGGGAGAGATACCGGCCTCTTTGGTAGTAGATATACCAGAGATCACGCAGGACGGGCTCAAAGGAGTCAACGGAATCTCCAACCCGGCATTATCTCTCACTAATATACCACGTTTTATTGTAGGCTGCGGAACGAAGGTCGTCGAATTCGCCTCGTTTGATAGCATCCCGCACTGATTTGCGATCTCCAGCGGAGGCGGCTACGAGGGTGGGATCGGGATCGTGTCTGGGTGATGGGCTTGCGGGGTCTGCTCGTAGGGCTTCCATCTTGAGTTTGGGTGGTGATCTGTGTTGGGGATGGGGGAGTATAGAAGAGAAGAGACGAGACGAAGTGAGCTGGCAAACTCTCGTGTCAGGCAGCAACAATACTATACGATGGATCTTTTGATTCACTCCAGGCCCTTCTCCTGGCGGTGAATATTGATAGGAGCTGCTGGTAGTTGTTTAAAGCCTAAGGCACACAACGATGCAATTAAGCGTCTAATGGGTTAGGGCACTATGCTAACTACGGGTGATGCATTTTCGATTGAGTAAGCCAGGGTCACCTCTTGAGCCATTCAGCCATTCGTCTGTCATATACATCTACGTCCAGGCATACTATCATCCAAAAACACTACCAGGTTGTTAAGCCCTAGTGTGGTGTCTGCCCAAAGCACCATACCGAGACTGCAGGGATTAGCCTTGAGACGGTTGACATTCAGCTCCCCAAGGCTCCTATCAGATTTCGCAGGCATAGCCCTGTGTCCTCAGATCATTCGTACACTACGGTCCATGTTTAGTGAGACCCTCGAGAGTCCGCCCAAAATGACAGTGTCAGCAAGAAGACGTCATGAGGAATGGACAACGGTGTCTTTTTAGCAAGGATCACTAGTCAACAACCATTCAACGAATTCCACAGCATCATGCAGAATACATACCCCATGCTGCAAAGGGTCATACGTAGTTGTTGCCAGTGCGACCTAGCATGCTGGACGCCGTAACCGGTAATTAATCATGCTAGCTGTTGGTTGAGAGACATCAAAATCTGTTATTTATTCTAGTAGTAGCTGGGTATTGTAATGTAATGGATACACCGATACCGCCACGTTCGACGGGATTCCGTAATCGTTATTACCAGCCAATAAAATGCATCACGTGCTCCGGGGCTGATTGCTCCGAGGCTCCGGTGGCTTCGGCTGTGAAGCTGAGTCATTGAGTTTGCATTGTTTGAACGTTTTTGTTTGACGCCGAATTCTTTTCGTTCCTCCTTTCTTTTTTTTTCTTCCACCCCACAACACTCTCACCTCTTTCTGTTTTGTCCTTCTATAATTCACTTATTGCCATCGACGTTGGCTTCTTCGTCGATTTGCACCATTCACGAGTTTTCCCGTCTCGCAAATTTGCATCTGCGCTGAAAGAGCGCGTCTCTGGTTAGTAGTGTACGGATTTTTATCGGCTTTCCGCCACTTTTTTCTTTTATTGAAAGTATCACAAAAAGTCTGACTCTTTCTCTTCTATAAACAGAAAAGCGATCTGTTGGTTTCTCTCTTCTCTTGCCAGAGAAAACCACCCAAAACCGCACCGCCCTCCCCAAAGAAAGGAGCTGTTCGACAACTTGTCTATGTATTCGTCTTGCGTCAGAAATTTCGAATACCACCTGCCGCATAAGCTGCAAACGTTTCGCTACGCGCCGAAACCTTGTAGTTTTCATTCCAAGTCTTGTGGCTGAAGCCTAGAAAGCTGCCTGTTGCCTCAACCGTCACCATTCTACGACACAACGAACGACTCCCACGCATGTCTTTTTCGGTCAATTTACCTCTGGTTTCGATCGAACTCTCCCTGATAAGAAAGCCTGTTCTTTAATTCTCCTGAAATAATTTTCTACAAATCACAACCGTCACCATGGCCACCGTTAACATTCGCCGGGATGTCAGCGATCCCTTCTACCGTTACAAGATGGAGCGTCTGCAGTCCAAGATTGAAGGCAAGGGCAACGGTATCAAAACCGTCGTTGTCAACTTGAACTCCGTCGCTGGATCGCTCAGTCGCCCTCCCTCCTATGTGATCAAGTACTTTGGATTCGAACTGGGTGCTCAGGCTAACGCCAAGCCGAGCGACGACCGTTGGATCATCAACGGTGCCCACGATTCCAACAAGCTCCAGGATTATCTCGATGGCTTCATCGCCAAGTTCGTTCTCTGCAAGAAGTGCAAGAACCCCGAAACCGATGTCATCCTCAAGGATGACCACATCATCTTGGACTGCAAGGCTTGTGGACAGCGCTCCGACGTGGACCCCCGTCTGAAGCTGAGCACCTTTATTATACGCAATAGCACTTCTGGCAAGGGAGGCAAGAAGAACAAGGCCGACAAGAAGGCCCGCCGTGAGAAGAACAAGGAGAAGAACGATGGTTCCGCCAATGGAGACAAAGATGGCAGCCAGGGAGACAGCAACTCCGACAATGGAGGAGAGGCCGAGGATCTTGGCATTGAAGCAGGCAGCGATGATGAGCTCACCCGCCGCATCAAGGCCGAAGCTCAGCAAATCGAAGCTGACGAGGCCGAAAATGAGCAATGGGCTGTTGACGTGTCGGAAGAAGCCGTCAAGGCTCGTGCCAAAGATCTTTCCGACGATCTGAAGCGTTCCCTTGTCATCGAAGACGATGACGAGGCCGAAGGTGGTTCTTCGTCCTACGACCAGCTTGGTAGCTGGGTCATGAGCGTCGCTGAGGTAAAGGGCAACGTCCTCGAGGTTGAAGACATCGACATCTACAAGAAGGCCAAGGAGCTCGGCATCGAGTCCAAGCACAAGACCCTCACTGTTCTTGCTCAGACCATCTTCGACAAGAACTTCGCCAAGCAGATCCCTAAGCGGGCTTCGCTCCTTCAGAAGTTGGTCACTTCGGAACGTCACGAGAAGGCTCTCCTCGGTGGTACTGAGCGCTTCGTTGGCAGCGACCACCCCGAACTCATTTCCCAGATCCCTGCCATCCTTCTTGGTTACTACCAGAACGACATTGTCTCTGAGGAGACCCTCAAGGCTTGGGGCGCTAAGGCGAGCAAGAAATTCGTCGACGGCCAGACCAGCAAGAAGGTCCGCAAGGCCGCCCAGCCCTTCCTCGAATGGCTCGAAAACGCCGAAAGCGAGGAGGAGGAGAGTGACGAGGAGGAGTAGATTGAAATATCGAACTCTTCTTTATCACCTAGGGTCCTTGGACTCGATTTTCTTTTGCTATTTCTGTTCTGATTATGCCAACTATTATCCGCTCTCTTGAGTGACCAGCTGTTGTGTTTATGTGTTTTGTCGAATGACTGGTCATGGCTTATGATTGTTCATTTACATTAGCTATGAATGGATCACCACTTCTTTATGCCCTTGTCTTCACTTGTAGTTTTTATTCAGTAGGCAGTCACTTCCAACGCCAGTCAATGCTATCATCATTATCACCACCACCTGTTTTAGACCGCACCGTCGACTATATTGTCTCATTAACCACTTGGGGTTTTCTTTTTTTTTGGAAATCGCTACGAATACGAACTATTTGTGCCCTAAGCACTGATGCTTGGCATGAGAATAGGTCTACATCCAACGTCAATAGCTCAACGAAACGCAAACTGCTCCGTTTCATTAACACTTCGATGGTTCTGGAACTTCCTCCGAGACCACAGGTGGAATTCATGGCCTCAATTATACATACTGTTGTACTTTGAAAGCAGGATGATAACACCTTTATCATAATCACCACATCGAACATACGAAGCGTTCTGGGTCTCTCCCATGGTATAAACAACTTCGAGAATATCATCCCTACCTGTCAACCATCGATGTACAACCAAGTCACGTTCCGAGTCTCTCCTACAAAATAAACACGCTGTCAGAGCCTCCGTTGCGCCAAATAGGTCTATTAGACCAATGGTTTGACGCAGGCCAGATCGCCAGATACATGCTTGAGCACCTTATGGAAGATACATCCCTTTGGGCATATGCGCGATGGGACGGAATGAGACTTCTCAACTTCTCGCGTTTTCGACGAAAACGCTATACCGCTCTGCCACATCTGTCGCTCAGCGTATGATCAACCAGGCGATAGTAGTTCATTTCCCCCCGAAGATCTAGATTTGCCGTGGATTTTGAGATGCGAAATCTTGAGAAACGAATGAAGGCAGTAAACGAGCAAGCAATCTTCCTTCGCCAAGGAGACGAGGTTAGAGAATCGAAGTTGGAGATCTCGCCAGTCATTTGCGACAATCAATAACTTCGAACACTTAGCACCAGGTTCGAAATGACCTATAAGTGAGGCAATGGAGGAAAAGTGCTGCTTTACCTACTGAAATTCGAAGCTTTTGATTATCGCGTATCACGCTGCAAAGTTCGACGAAGCGAGCAAGGATGATAATGCGCAGTGTGAGCGTTGCTAGAACGAAGAACATCAACTGAAGGCTTCCCTTGGCATGGGGAAGGTTTCTCTGGTCAGGACCCTGTCTTGACCACGGGGTCTTCGATATCATCCGCGTCCAATCCTGCCGGAGCAGAAACACAGCGAGTTGCGAGTGACGCCCCTAATCCTGGAACGTTCTTTTGTCTATTCTTTAACGAAACAAGAGCTTCGGAAAGGTAATGGCGTGAGGCAAAGCATCGCATCGAGTGCTAAAAGCATGAATTTCTTCTTCCAAGGTCACGGACGGTGTCTGGCCTTGCCTGCAGCACACATAAAGTATACAAAGGGCAGTATACATAAAGAAATCTGTTGATCTTTGATCACTGATGAGCTGGCACAGAGGGAGGCTGAAAAATCAACCATGAATGCGTTGATTCAGCTGAGAAAGATAAATGCAGAGATAGTGTTTGTGTACAAGCTCGCGAAGGTGGAGATCCGGGGGATAGCCCAGATTGAATGTCTGCCTTCTTTTCCTTCAGAATATCCCAAGTCCCCCCAGCCTCAGATCTACTTGCAGTCACCCAACCTTTCCACTGCGAAGAGGGATCGCACCAACTGGGGTGAAAATAGCAGTTCCGGGTATAATAAATTCGATACTCTCATGGGGACCAGTACATTTCTCCCCATCTGAATATTTCAATGTCGTGTTATTTTCTTCTAACAAAGAGGATTATCAATTCGGGAACTACAGGGATTCTATGCAAAGGCTTGAAAGGAACCAGACCTCATGATGCGACCAGGCCGGCAACGACATCCGCAGTTTCTGTAGAAGAGCTGCAGGCTTTGCTTGCGCAAAGGGTGGCATGTGCCCTAGACAAATGAAATGAATAGATACTACGTTCAGTGGTTTATCTACAGCAACCGGGGAATGTGTCTCGAAAGCTGGCAGTTCTTGAATTAAAGAACACCTCCCCTCTCAGCAAGGCTGACTTCAAGCCTGTTGTAATGACTGAAAACAGCTTGATAGCATGCAGGATGAGACACTAGCTCTACCTCATTCAAAGAGAATGGGTGGCTAATTGTGAAGCAAGCCACCAAGGACTCCGAAACTGTAAGTGTTTATCCCCAATACCATAAAGATGGAACAAGAAGCAAGGCGAAGAGTTCCTAGCCACAAACTGTGATGAAATTCACGATTTCATTGTTCCACGCCGGTGCTGAAGAAGACTACAGTCTTGACGACAAGAATATGCACAACACCCTTATCAACCCTTCGTGGTCAAAATATATCAGAATTGCCTGGGAAGTGATATATCGAGCAGAGCGGAAATTAGCCCAGCTCGCTCAGCAATCCCAAGTGGCATACATATCGCCATGATCAACGAAGTCTGCTTCTCCCGTATCTAGACCACCTTAGTTATCATAAATAGATGACAGTAAGTCTGCAATCTTGCAATAATTGAAGATTTATCCATGTCATTCTACTTTATACTTTCCATTGGCCTCATACAATAGCCATTTGCAATACTAAAAAAAAAAAAAAAAAAAAATTTTATAAAAAAATAATAATAATGATAATAATAATAATAAATGGAGGTTCTTCAGGCGTCCACCGGAGGATGCGAGTGTTGCCTTTGAAGTTGCAAAGTTGCATCGGAGTAATGGGCAGAATCATATCAATGGGTCTGTATATATGTCACCTCGCATGGATTGAGCGTTATTACTCGCAGCATTGCATCTTTGCGACATCAGCTCAGACTGTCTTTCTATTTTTATTGAGTCTTACCTTGGCAGATTGTCAATAATGAAAATGAAAGTTCTTGTACTGTTGTTTACCTCTCGTCGTCAGTTCATTCAAACTCCACTACGTGACTTGAGGAGGTATGCGTTGGCGGACGGTCTTGGAAGACGGGGGGTTATCCTCCATCTCTGTACGTTGTGAATTACCAGTAAATCTCAATATAGTTGATCACAGGGATGGGCTGCAGCCCAACCATTCCCCTCAAGAAGGCACACCGTACGAGAGTCCAGCGGGGCCAGACTTAAGTGACCTAGGTTATTACCAGATACCGCGAATGTAGCCGAATTATACCTGCTGGTTGTACTAGAAGACTATCAATACCTGATCTGCAAGGACCCGGGGTCCAGTGACTCTGATAACTTTACAGTGCCGGACAGGTTTGGCTTCTACATGTTTACACACTTTCGCTCTTTCTCAGCGCCACTCCCGCGTCCCTAGACTATATTAGGCTTAGAACATTATTGTCGTATTATTACCGTTTGTAAGGAGAGATACAATACCAGAATATTAGTAAAATATCTGTTCTGTCAATAGTTACATCCAAGCTTGAAGTGACGGTAACTTCGAGAGATCGGATAGATCCCATAAACATTGTGCTTTCATTATCCAACATTCCTACTGCATAACATTTGATAGAAAAGATATCAAAATACCTTAGTATGTCCTTTGTATGTTCCCCCACCCGTTGGGGAAAAGAGTGAATATGGATACTAGCTTTGAAGATAATTTTTCAGTCATCATGATTGGTTGGTACTTGATGACCGATCCCTGCCCTTCAGCTGTGCCAACTCATCAGGGAAGAAGATTGATTTTCACAATGAAAAATAAGCATCCCCCTCATCCCAGAAATTGAATTCTCAACATGATCAACGAGAATTATTCACCAAAAAAATTATTTCAAAATATTTGTTGACTACTCAATATGCCTCGGTGGACAGACCGTCTTTTCAACCGATCCAGAAAGCCCCAGAAAGCATATCACCAGCTGAATCAACCTGACCATACACCTGTTACTCCAGTATCGGAATCAACCAATTGGTCCAACATAACCAAGGGCCAGTTGGAGGACCATCCTCTCCAGCAAGACTTGTGGCAATGCGCCTATGACCAGCTAGATCAAAAAGCACGGGATATTTTGTTGAGAATAGAGATTCCTGCTCAGCTCGGGAATGATAAAAATAATTCCCGAACGGAGGCTGTGATCAACAAGGTTATTCAGATAACAGGGGAGCAATATGAGGAATACCAACAAGGAGGCAGAAAGATTCAGAGGCCAACAGGGGAGGATATTGACCTTCGAAAGTTTTCACAAAAGACAATTAATGCTGCGTTATCTTTCAAGGCCATCATCAATGCAGTGGTAGCTTTTGATCCCACCCAACATGCAGCAAGCGTTTGGGCAGTTGTTTCACTTGGATTGACTGTAAGTCATCACCCGTACAGCTCATACGACGGCGAGACTAATGTATAACCTAAATTTTAGATGGCCAAAAACCGCCTTGACTTGCGAGATGCTTTGTTCAGTTCCTCGGAATATTTAGCAGACGTCCTTGCCCGATGTGCCTTTATTGAAGATAATTTTTACCGCATTAACTCTGACGAAAGTGCTAAGATAGGACATGTGATTGTTAGGGTCTATAAAGCAATTCTCCAATATACTGCAGAAGTACTGTCTGCTCAGAACCCTAGCATGGGAAGATGGATTCTGGATGGTGTTGCTGCAATCACCAATGAACGCCTCATGGAACTTCAATCTTCTATCAAGGAGGAAGAGACATATTTGCACCAATGGGTTGAGTTTGATCAACATCTACAGCACCAAAAGAAAGCCGAGAGCATCCTGGCAGGGATAGACAAGATGTCGGCATCCATTCAAGACCTTATTCAGAAGTTCAACATTCTCAACCTTCACATGGCGGAGGGAGCATTGTACGACTCATATATAGATCAACATGAGGATATGTGCCTTCCCGATACCAGAGTTGACCTTCGTCGCCAAATTACAGAGTGGGCAGAATTATCGGACAAATGCATCTTTTGGTTGAATGGTATGGCAGGAACAGGAAAGTCAACCATTGCCCGAACAGTCGCACAATCCTTCAAAGAGAGAGGGCAACTGGGAGCCAGTTTCTTCTTTAAGAGGGGTGAAGCGGACCGTGACACGGCAAAAAGACTTATATCAACTATCATACGACAGTTAGTGACTGTTAACCGGCGACTGTTGCCTGGAATCTCTGAAGCACTTCAGAATGACCCCAATATCTCAGCAAAATCTCTCAGCGAACAATTCAACAAACTGCTTTTCGAACCACTTCAAATCCTCGAGCCGAGTCAAACTACAGTCATGGTGATCGTGATTGATGCATTAGATGAATGTGAAAAGAAGCATGACATAGAAATTTTGCTTCAGCTTTTGCCACGGCTGCAGAAGTGCAGATCTATACGTCTGCAGATCTTTCTGACAAGCAGACCTGAACTTCCAATCCGTCTTGGCTTTGAGAAAAGCAATGACCATCAAGATCTGGTTCTCCATGAGCTTCCCCATTCGGTGATTGAACATGATATACGTATCTTCCTGAAAAATAGGTTTCCAGTAATAAAAGAGAAGCGGAAAATTTCCGGGGACTGGCCTGGAGATGATACTATAGAGGATTTGGTCACAATGGCTGTTCCGCTCTTTATTTTCGCGGCCACCATATGCCGCTTTGTTGGAGAAGGAAGACATCCAGAAAAGTGTCTTCAAAAGCTTCTCAACTCCCAGGAAGTCACCTCTGCACCCCAGATGGACAAGATTTATCTACCGATATTAGGTCAAGTTCTTACTGGCAGTGATGAAGATGAGTCAAATGAGCTTATAAGAGAGTTTCGGGATATAGTTGGAGTTATAATCCTTCTTGCTGCCCCACTACCAGTCAATTTCCTTGCAAGGCTTCTTCACGTACCCAAGAAAGATATCAGCGATCTCTTGGATCCATTACACTCAGTTCTCAGTGTACCAGATGATATGAATGCTCCAGTCCGCATTCTGCATTTATCATTTCGAGACTACCTGCTCAACACGAAAAGTGCCTTCCATGTGGATGAGGAAAAGACACATCAGAGAATAGCATTATGCTGCCTTCACGTCCTGAACATCAGCCTCACACACAATATTTGCAGTTTATCAAGTTATGGAACACAGCGCATAGATATACATAACCAGGTCATTAATCAACACCTGTCAGCAGATCTACAATACTCCTGTCGCTACTGGGTATATCATCTAGAGCAGAGCAGAGCTGGTATATCTGAAGAGGAAATTGTCCCATTTCTGGAAAAGCACTTTCTTCACTGGTTGGAAGCAATGAGTCTAATGGGGGCTATACCAGAGACTGTGGCCATTATTGATACACTGCAGTCAAGCATAGGGGTAAGTCTCCACAGAATCTATAATTGGAGTTATAACTAAGTACTATAACTCAGAGCAAAGTGCAGTCTGAGTTTTCACAATTTCTATATGACAGCAAGCGCTTTATTCTCCAGAATATTCAACTCGCTGATACCGCTCCATTGCAACTTTATCGTTCCGGGCTGGCATTTTCACCATTGGATAGTATGACCAGAAAGATGTTTGGGAAAGATCTATGCAGATGGCTACACACTATGCCACAAGTAAAAAATTCATGGAGCGCAGAGCTACAGACCCTTGAAGGCCATTCTGATTGGGTTAGGTCAGTGGCCTTCTCCCCAGATGGAAAGA